AGTCTTCTTCTTATCATAGCATACCAACCAGCGAACACCCAGCCAAGTTTAGTTAGCCAGTTTGAGTATTCGTTACATGTGACGGAGCTGGATTTCATTTGACAGGATTTCATTCGCTTGGCCAAGCACGTGACGAGACTTGGCATTGGAACAACTTAAATAACTTCGCTCCTTTCAGATTCTCTTCTCTCTTTAGTTTGATTTCTTCGTACCTACGGTTTTAGTTCTAGCAATTGATTCAAAAGCTGTATACACTTTATCCTTTGTTGGCATCCGTGACAACTAGTATTAGTAGCGAATCGAGTACTAGTACTAACGGCGAATCGAGTACTAGCGACGAATCGAGCTCTAATAAGGAACTATATAATAAGATATCTGGCGAGGATATAAGTATAAGTAGTAAGTTAAGTTCTAATAGTAATAATAACTCTAAGACTAGTAAATAGCGAATCAATTAATAGATTACTAAGGAAGAAGAAGCCGAGAGAATTAAGAAGGAGGAATATAAGTATAATAAATCTCTATTAATTATATTAGACCTTAATACTAAAGATAAGTTAGTATAATAATATAAGGAGGAGCGATCTATTCTAAATATATTAAACTAGACGAGTTTTCTAAGGTTTTAAGTATATTTAGTAGAGCTTTAATATAAAGAGCGAATAAACTAAATTAGCGTTAAATTGTGACGGTTATGGTCACGAGGGCTGGATGTCACATGCTCGCTTAGCGAGGCGCTAGCGCGCACGACCTGTATTTAGTTCCCAGCTCACTAGAGCTCTCCTTCTTTCCTCGTCTTTTGTCCTAAGAATAGAGTGTTAATTGTTCTGAGTTCTACCTGAAGCACGTCTGTCACATTACAAAAGACCCTTAGTTGAGGCTAAGTATCCCAGGTCTAAGTTCACGTTCACGTCCAAGTTCAGGTCCACGATCTTACGTCTCAATTCTCACGATTTCTACCACTTTCTTGTGCGCAAGAACCCTACACTTTACAACACGACGAAACCTCTTCTTTTTTCGACTTCTCTACAATGGATGCCCTTCAAGTTCAGTCCGCCATCGCTGAGTTGCAAGCTGAAGTCCAGCGACAGCGCGACGAGATTCACTTACTCCGGTCAAGAACATCCGCAAAGCCTAAACCTTCCCTCCCAGACCCTGACAAATTCACTGGCCAGGCTCATAAATTCGACACCTGGCTTCCCTC